GCCCGATGGCCTCCGCTCACCTTTCTGGTGAGAAAGTCAAACTTGGCATCGCACTGCATACACCGCGGGCACTAGGAGGGAAGGGGCAGCTGTCAAGCACGCAGCACCCTCGGGCCGTGCCCCCTGCTCCCGGCTGGCCCGTGTCAGTCCCGCGGAGCCGGCTGGGCAGGTGCTGGGGGCGTGTGGCTCTGGCTGTGGAAGCTGCGCCCCGCAGCCCACCCCGCGGCCCCCGCTCTGGAGGCCAGGTCTGAGCTTTGCAAGATCCCAGGACCAACATCTTGTTTCCTCTTTGCCTTTATTTTAAAATCCTCACCCGAGGATGTTTTTATTGATTTTTAGAGAGAGAGGGAGAGAGAACCATCCATCAGCTGCCTCCCGTATGCGCCGGGACTGGGACTTAAACCTGCAACCTTTTGGCGCACAGGCTGATGCTCCAACCAAATGAGCTACCAGGCCAGGACCTCTTCGCTCTTAAGCTGCTTTCTGCATGTGGACACAGGGCCTGGCCCTCCCTGGCCTTCCAGAACCATCTACAGCGGCCGCTGACCTCAGGCGTTGGCTGGCTGCTCTCTGTCAGCTCTGGGAGGCTCTGCGTGTCTGTGCCAGGCCTCTGCACCCGGCCGCTCTCTCCCGTGACCCTAGCCGCCCGCCAGCCACAGAACCCATGGAGAAAGCTCCGCAGGGGCTGTAACCCCTGAGACTGACAGGTCCTAATGAGTGACAACTCCTGGGGCCAGGATGCTGCCAACAGGACCCCTGATAGCGGCTGCCTCCAGCCACTGCAAGGCCCATACATCTGGGCGAGTCTAAAGACCAATCTCTGAATGTAAGGCATCTAGAATTTAAAAGTTGCCCCTTAAACCCGAAGTGATGCAGAAGTATTTTATTCCTCTAAATAACCAACGAAGTTATTCAGAAAATCGACAGACTTTAAACAGGTCATTTCCCACTGATCATGTAAGAAAAAAGAAAGTTTTGAAATTCTCAACAGAGCAGTTAAATGTGAAAAGAAAACTATCGAAGGAAATAATGCACTGGGCAAGGACCTGAGAACTAGCACCTCCAGAACTGGCACCTCCTCTGATAGGGCAGCACAGGGAACGAGCTGCCGGGGCTCTGGGAAATGCTACCTGGGGGGACAGAGAATGTACCCAAGTCTAGAACCAGCTGTGACCCACTACACACTACACACAGCAAGTGCCTGAGATGCCAGCCTCACACACCGTCACCTTGGGAGGGCCAGGCTGATGGTCACACAGGCACAGTCACTGGGGAGGACAGATCTGTGGGGCCCACCCACCACAGGGCCTTGAGGAAGCCTGGGGAGGTGGTGGGGGGGGGGAATAGATGGTCCAGGTGGTGCAGGTGGAGGTGTGCTCGCAGGGACACACACATGAGCACACACAGACAGACCCATCTGCCACCAGACCCCTGGCTAGGCTGACCTGGGTTGTGCGAGGCTGCGTCACAGGCAGACACCTCTCCAGGGCAGGACCAGCAGTGGCCTCTGGGGGCCTCTTACTCCCCAAAGGAAGCAAGTCAATAGGAGCCTCCGCCTGTGCTCACCTCCAAGGGCCACCTAGTGCTCGGATGGGAGGAAGGAAGCCGGTGAGAAGTGTGGCCTCTGAGGGCCCCCTGGGTGGCCACAGGTGGCTCCACATTCTACCACCCTCCCCTGCATGCAGGCTCCTCCAGCTCCAGGGAACCTGGGAGGACTGGGACAAGGCCCACACAGGTACTGTAAACAGAGCCACCGGCCGGAAAAGAGAAAACAGGAAGGGCCCAGCACCGGGCCTGGGTCAAAGCCTTTGGGACAGAAGGGGCCCTGGGAGGGCAGAGGCCCAGCACAGAGCTGTCTGGGGGCCCAAGGTCTCTACCAACTTGCTGCCCCCAAAGGCAGCAGAAAGGTTAAATAGTCCAAAAATACAAAGTTTAGAGAATTTAAAGGAATGTTAAAAAAAAAAGTTACTACAAAAACAGCAAAGTTTTAGGACACATGCCTCCCCTCCCACCTGGCTGGCCAGCTCCAGGCTCTCTCACAACCATTTCTTAGGTTGCTCAAAAATAAATAAATCATAAAAGTAAGGTTTTAAAATACACCTATGGCTGTATCTCTATTGAAAGATAATCCCTGTTAAAGAGTAAAAGCCTAACTCCTACAGGTACAAAATGAACCAGTGCCAGAGGATTAACTCAAGGATCAGTGAGGGACCTACTGGGATGCCAGAAACCCAGCTCCTAGGGGAACCCAGGAGAGGACCGTATGCGTCGAGACACGGTCAGTTCTCTACCAGACAGGTGGTCACATAGCTCAGAGAATGGAAGGTGCAGACACTGCAGACCGTCACACCCCAGGAACTTGGTGGGACCCTCGGGACGCCCAGGAACTCCATCATGGTTCCCCATGTGACCTGGTGAGACTCACAGACGCCGCTCTTCACCCAGGACAAGGCCAGACACTGACCCCAAGTTCCCATTCTCCACCTGGATAACCTGTGTACCCCCACCCATCAACCAGAACAAAGGCCGTGCACCTCGCTCATTGGACTTTAGTTAAGGTTCTCTCCTTCCCACAGGCCCCTCAACTATGCCCGCCTCAGCCTGAGATGGCAGGTCTGGGCGACCCCGTCCCTCACCTGTGGGTCACACCACTGCACCTGACCGTCCCCCCCTGCATCTGCACCTCGCCTCCACCTGCACCCACTGCTCTCTTCTAGCCTGGTCACTCTCCATAAAGAAAGCCTGACCTTGGAGACACCTGCAGGTCGTGGTGGCAGCTGTCCCCTCCTGCAGCACCCCCTGTGCCACCCCCTGCCCCTTGCAATGACCCCGAAGGACCCACCTATGTCTGGGTTTGCTCTTTACCTGACACACCTGTGCTCCCTTCCCCCAGCTCTGCACCGCACTATCATCATCACCGGAGATACCCAGTGTCGAGGTGGGAGGAGTGCAACACTGCATGGGTTTTAAGGATAAAACTCAATATTTTAGCTGCTTGTGACTAGTCCTTAGGGCACATGCCCAGACAGCCCACCACCAAGCCCACCCTTCTCTGCCATCAGACACTTTGATGGCAGAGTCTCAGGAGCCCTGACACCATTCCTGT